ATTTATTTCCACTTAAGTCATTTCTCGTCCTCCATATGCGACTTCTTCCGACTTATTTAAATAAATAATAAATACCCCTGATATGAAAGCTGCCCTTTATTGCATTTGAAGACTCAATCAATCGTGAGTCAATCTTAGCTGTCAATCATAATGTTTCGGCCGTTTTATAGCATCAAGTAACTTATCAAAACCAAACTTAGTGGAAAAAATGAGAACTTGAACAAATGTGTAATAAAAACTACTTTACCTGACAGAAAACATATTTGAGAAAAATCTATTTGATCTTTAGTTTGATACATGTCCCAGTCACAGTCATGGGGGGCAGGGTGTATGACCTACACTGTAGCCAGCCACAAGGTGGCGATAGAGACCATTTGGCTTCACTTTTATGCAGCTTGTTGTCCATCTATACAGTCCATATTGTGTCATGACATTATTGGATTATATAGGATTTTTGCATCACTGCAATAATGAAGTATCTTGATAAATTAGGTATTTCATTTAGTGGATCAGCAGAGAACAGACAGACTACATCTCCCATCAGTTTGTGTGTCGTTATTCTTACTAATGAGCTGCATGCCACTCAGTGTTCTTCCTTGTATGATCGACTTTGAAAGGATAACAAGGCAGTCGGAGCAGCCAGTGTTCAGCAGGATGGATTGAGAAGAGTAAGGTTGCACTATGGACACACAAATACATTTACACACACATATCAACACAAATCAACACTGGCTGTTTGCAATGCTAGACACAAAGTCCATATCTGTTGTACAGTGCAGGTTCCATCAATACTCACCCATATACAGAGTGTTGTCTCGCAACGTCATCTTAGCTGTGACAGAGAAGCATCGGCCTAACCTTTCACAAGTACAAATAAAATACATAACATTAAAAAAGGTGAAATTGTGCAATCAGTTTTTTTTTTTATTTGGCAAAAAAACACTCTAGGCTAGACTTTAAGATGGATTTCTGTGGTTTGGAGTGAAATGTGACGGCAGTATTTTTGATTAACTCCTTAGATTAAGCTTTATGTTACATTCTTTGAACTTGATGAAGATTGATGGCATCACTCTCGTTGGCAGCGGTGATTTTGCTCCAGACGCTCTCCACTAACAGCTTCGTCAGCGCCGCGGTCCCTGTGATGTCTGTGCTTTCTGCTATGAATATCCATTTCCCCAGCAGCTGAAAGCAACAGTCCCAACCTCAGTTACGTAAAAATGACAGATATGCTCACATTCAAAATAGAACAATATGCATGAAGTGAGATTGTGAGAGACTGGTGGAAAGTGAGATGAGAGAGTGCGTCTTACCTGCTCTCTTCCCTGCATTACAACAGGTTGAGTTAGAGTCTTACAGCTCGTCATAGGAGCCGCCTGTCCGACAGACAGAAGACTGAGCGCAGCCACAGCAACATAAACGACCTCCATCATCGTGGCTCCTGAATCAGTGTGTCTGTGTATCTCAATGGTCACAGTTTGAAGCCGACTGCGTCTTCTTCAGGACAAAACTGGTGCATCAGAGGCTCATCCCACATGAAATCCTCCTCTGTTTACACTTGTGTCACAATGTGGTTGACACATGAAGGTCAGCGGTGGAATAAGAGTATGAATACTGTTACCCAAACTAAAAGAATCAGTATGCAGAATGGTGCATATTATACATCAATGGATTTTAAATTCTTCACATAAAGTTTGGTTCGTTTTCCTTATCACACCTTAACTTG